GAGGAGCTTCCAAGAAGTACCTAGGGTTTGGGGGTTGTCTAGGGCTCAAGGCTTAACTGCAGGAAGACTTGGCATACATGTGCCCACTTGGCGGCTTTGAGCTTACAAGGACGATGGACGCTTTATTCCATGGTGCATCTTCGAGTCGACCTGGCACATGAGGGTGGGCCAGTGGTGAATGTTGCACTGAAGCCCTTAACCCGCAGGTCTACGACCTGGAAGGCTGCCAATTAGCGAACGGTGGCTATTCGATTCTCTTCTATGAATGAAAACAGCGCTGGACGTCCAGACGGATCTTTGACAGGAGCGTGGAAACTGGGCTACTGTGTGTGTACTTGGTGCAGACAAAGCTTGTCCGCAAAAGGGTTCCATTAGGGTTTAGGAATCGCTTAAGCAAGGCTTTAAGGGTTCAATGTACCGCGTGGAGTATCTACCCTGGCTCTAAGGTACCTACGTAGGCAGACCTTTGAAGCCAAGTCATATGCTGCAAACGTACATGGACCCTTACCCTAAGGCTCTAAGGGCTCATATTGTAAGGCTTTTGGGCCCAAAGACCATACTATATAAGGCTTTTGGGCTATTCTGAGCCTTAGGGTTAGCATTACCACAATCAGGAAACTAGGTTCTGGACTTTGCGTTAAGCTCCCTTAGCAAGAACTCAGACAGAGAGTTTAGGGAATCCGCGTCTCGAGACTTTGTGGAGGGGTTCAGGGATGAATGAACTGTTTGACGGTTTGGATGTCTGTTACTTGGAGCATCATGGGACTTAGTAAGTAAGGTTATAAGTACCTTAATTGGGGTTGTAAGTATAGTTACCTTACTTATAACCCTAGTTACTAAGTCCCATGATCCTTTGTAGTAGGGGCCTGCAGTTCCCATGATCCTTTGTAGGGGCCTGCAGTTTGGGGGAACATCCTGGAGTGCAAATTGCGGTGACTTTGCGTGAGCAGATTCCGTCGTCTGCATGCTCCCCAAGTTCCCGAATCCTCGACCTACCCAGAGGCCCCAAAGTAGTTCCTTTCTGGGGTTCATATGTAGAATCCCATAAGGTAATCCCAAAAACGAACTACAATGGGGCCTCTGGGTAAACCCTAAACCCCCAACCGTAGCCACACACAAGCCCCGAAGACCCAAATCCTGAACCTGAAAGCCAGCCAAGTCCTTGACCGCATGATCCTAAGCGCATCCACGTGTTCCTTGTGTGGTGGGGTTTAGGGTTTACCCATAGGCCTCAAAGTAGTTCCTTCTTGGGATTACCTTTTAGGATTGTATATATGAACCCCAAAAAGGAACTACTTTGGGGTTTAGGGTTTAGTCACAACCCAGCATCCAGCTTTGAACCGTCAGTGCTTGGACACGTCTTTGAGCAGTAGGACCTGGAGGAAGCAATATAGAAGCCTTAATAACTACGTGTATATACTATTTTGGGGGGTTCCTTACTATACATATACAGTAGGAGGGGCCCCAAAACCCTATTCTAGTGCTTGAGGCTCCTATATGTAATTACAGCTTGTTGAGGATGGCCCCTTTGATTTGGCCGTCATCGATGCAGACAAGGCCTGTAACTTTCCGGTCAGGTTTTCAAGGACCAAAGCCTTTTCTAAGTAGGTTCTGCTGGATGATATAGCTCGACATTGTCCTCATTACAACCCCAACTAACATGAGAAGATCTGCATCCACATATCAGGGGAGAGTAGTTACTTACATGGTGCGTTGTGGAAGTTGTGTTCGCAGAAGCGGTTGGGTTTGCATTTATTCTCGGCTTGGTTCATGGGCTCGCTTGGGCTTAGAGTAGGTGTCGGTGACCATTCGCAGTGTAAAAACCGCACGAATTGTGACATCAAATAATACGCGAGACCCAATGAACCGAGGACAAGTTTTACCTGCGCTTATAAGACAGGTGGAACAGACAACGCCAGCGTTGAACTCCCAAACCCAGACTTGAGCCCTAAACCCAACAAGTCTTATCCTTAAACCTCTACTTGGAGGATCATGGGACTTGGTAAGTAAGGTCATAAGTACCTTAATTGGGCTTATAAGTATAGTTTTTCTTACTTATAACCCTAGTTACTAAGTCCCATGATATCCTTGAAGTAATCGTCCAACCCTAAACCTTCAAACCGGAAGCCTTTTACCAGCCTCAGGTCTCAGGATCCCCTCGTGCAAAGAAGCAAGAAAGCCTTTTGGGAGTTATGGTTTAGGACCTCATTACCCCAAGGCCCCAGAGTGGTTCCTTTTAGGGGTTCATATTTAGAATCTTATGAGGTAATCCAAAAAAGGAACTACTATGGGGCCTCTGATTAGGGTTTAGCGAGATAGGGTTTAGAGTTTCATGGAGGATGGCATCTGGGACTACTACTGCACCCTGCGGGATCAGGCGGCCCACAGGGGTTTGCGGTCCCAGAGGGCCCATATGCACTACCATTGTTATGGTTTGGGGGTCCTAATTCCATAATAGTAGTACTCTATGCTTCCAAGGACCATATAGTTAGGGCCCCAGACCCCTTAAGGACCCAATGATAAGGTCCCCGGAAGTATAGGGGTATCTATGGACCCTCTGGGGGTTGATGGGTTAAACGAGTTTGATCTCGTAGTGACCGGAGGATGGCTTCAGCGTTTCGGAGGTAGTGCCTGTAGGCTTTGGGATTCAGTCGAGGCCTAGCTTCATTCATGCACTTTCAGCCTAGACCCTCCAACTACCCTCTATTCGACCCTAAATGCCCCTTATTCGGGACCATATACCCCTAATTGAGGGTACAAGGAGGGTCCTGGAGGGTTCGTTTTTTTCATGCACTCATGGTTAATATTTAGGTTAGACATGAGGCCTCAGAGTTTACTTGCTTTACAGGCCACGGGACCGGTCCTGCCAACATGCGCAGCCTGAAGACCCAAGTGTGAATCTATAGCAAACTCACAGTAACCTTATAATGTAACCCTACAGTAAAGAAGCCTAGATTGGAAAATATCGGACAATCGGTTACTCTCTCCTGTGTGTGTGTGCGCGCGTGCGTGTACGTGCGCGTGTGCGTGTGCGTGTGCATGTGTGCGTGCGCGTGTGTGTGTGTGTGTTTGTGAGCGTGAGTGTGAGTGTGAGTGTGAGTGTGAGTGTGAGTGCGAGTGCGAGTGCGAGTGCGAGTGCGAGTGCGAGTGCGAGTGCGAGTGCGAGTGCGAGTGCGAGTGCGTGTGGGTGTGCGTGTGCGTGTGCGTGTGCGTGTGCGTGTGCGTGTGCGTGTGGGTGTGTGTGTGTGTCTGTGTCTGTGTCTGTGTGCGTGGGTTGGTGCGTGCGTGTGTGTGTGTGTGTGTGTGTGTGTGTGTGTGTGTGTGTGTGTGTGTGTGTGTGTGTGTGTGTGTGTGTGTGTGTGTGTGTGTGTGTGTGTGTGTGTGTGTGTGTGTGTGTGTGTGTGTGTGTGTGTGTGTGTGTGTGCGTGGGTTGGTGCGTGCGTGTGTGTGCATCGTTCGGTTCTGTGCTGTTGTGTGTTATCGCGAGTTGTTGTGTGTCCCGCCCACGAGACGGTACCAATTGCCAAAGACCGCACCCGCTTCCACACAGCCTGATGCACCTCGCAAGACAACCTGAGTTACCGTAGCCTTAAGCCTTGAGCCCAACACCCTAAGCCCCTAACACCTGCTCCCTTAAACAGTAAGCACTAGAACCCTAAAGCCCTAAATCTCTAAATCCTACAGGCCCCAAATCCCCTTGCCTCAACACCTTCAAGCACCAAAACCCTAAACCCTAATAGCATGCCCTAAACCGCTAAAATCCCTAACATTCCTGGGAACCACTAAGGGTTCCTTTAGGGGTTCGTTTCTTTAACGGTTCCCTGACGGTCCCTTAGGCTCTCGTTAGGGCCCCCCATTTCGATCGGAGGGCCTCCTTGCACCGAAAGCTGCGATCGTAGTGGACACGACGCCCTACAAGGCAGTGCCTTGAAGTTTCCGTAGAGGGCTAGGGGGTTCAGGGCTTAGGGCTGATAGGGTTTGGAGTTCTTGTATTATGGTTTAGGGCTTAAGGCCTAGAGCTTCGGGCTGATAGGGTTTAGAGTTTAGGTCTTCTGGTTTAGGGCTTATAGGGTTTAGATCTTGGGGCTGATGAGGTTTAATTAGGGTTTAATTAGTTATTTTAGGGCTTGTAACTACGGGATTGAGGGTTCAGATCCGTTTAGAACATGACCAATCCCTGCTGTTTATCAGCTCCTCCTCGGAAGTCTAGAGATGCTTAGCGTTTAGGGTTAGAACGAAAACCCTGTGCATATGATGTCAGGTCGGGTGTCAGCCAGCCTGGGGCAGGATTCAGTCTGCTTTGCCGAAGCCACGAACTCATGAATTGCTACCACAGATTCTAGAGATAAGATTGAGTTCTCAACTCAGCTGGACTTGGGTTACAACGCCGGGCTACCAAAGTTTCGGGGTTAGACTCGTAGACATCAGGATGTGTTTTGCTAGCATTTCGGGTGCCTTGAACCCCTCATACCAGGATGCAGAATCAGTGACTACACCGTGAGTCCTATCAGCACTATATAGAAGGATCTCAACTATTGATACCACATGGTTTTGTGGTTTTGGGTTCAGGGCTTAGGGTTTGTTCGTGGTGGTTCCATTTTGGGGCATTCCTCGAAGCTTCCACTTTTCAACTTCAGCTGCATGTCAACTGGGTGCCATCGAGACTGTACTTCCTCACGAGGAGACCCGAACCGACAGCTGAAGGGCTTTTTGTTGGCTTTTGCAGGGTAGAGTTTAGGGTTTGGGGGTTTTGGGTTTGGGGTTTAGGGGTTTCGGGGTTAGGGGTTGAAGGGTTTAGGGTTTAGGGCTCTGGGTGTTTAGGGGTTTGGGGGTTTAGGGTTTGGGATTTAGGGTTTAGGGGTTCAGGGGTTTCGCGTGTAGGGCCTGTGTGGACACTTTACAGAAAGCCTCCCCAGCTTGGAGAGAAGCTTCGGCTGCAGTTTTGAGACTCAAACCCGCCCTCATTGGTCCTGCAGAGCCTTCAGTGGCTCCCTATTGCCATGGCCTTCTTTGCCGTCTCAGCTCTGGTGGTCACCGTTGTTCTCTTTTGTTGGCAAAGCTTTCGTAGGTGCTGAAATGTCTGGTAGAATACGAATACTACATATGTAGTACGTACATATGTAACTTACATAAGCGTATGTATGCATGCGTGCCTGCATGTATGTTCGTATGTATACCAGGCTGTTCAGTGGTACACTTTTTTACTTTCAGGTTTCTGGTTTCCTATTATAAAATAAGAAGCCTTAAAAGTATGTACTTTTTCCCAGTGGGTCACTGAGCAGCCTAGTATACGCCTGCTGCTACCTTCGTTGTATTCTCTTCTGACAGCTCTGGAGCGCAGTCCCCAGTCCCACAAGCGTGACACAAAGGCTGAACCCCCTAAGCCCTAAACCCCAAAGCCCCAAACCCCACAAACCCCAAAACACCTAAGCCCCAAACACCCAAGCCTTAAACGCTCGAAACCCCAAATGCCGTAAAGTAAAAGCCAGAAAGTTGGAATATGATTATCCTAAACCCTTTATGGTAAATTATAAGGTATCCTCCCCTGAAACCATATTCCAACTTTCTGGAGTTCCCTTTAAACCCAAAGCAAGGTTTTGGTCGCTGCGGAAGCCGACCCAGCGCTCTTCGCCAACGACCCCTTCCCGAGCTCCCAGCTTCGGGGGGCGGACTACCTGGCTGCCCGCCCCGGAAAAGAGGGGAGTCCTAGATCTTTCAATTTTTTGGGGGGCACGGGGTTTGGGAGTTCAGGGTTGCAGGGAGGTTTGTAGAGGTCGTATACTGCTACTGTCGCTCCTCAGATGGGTGTACTTTGGGTAGTTTGCGTAGTTCCCGGGTTCAGAACAAGCCCCGTGCTTCCATCCCTGAGACAAGACATGCACCAAGGCCTAAAAGGCAAACTTGGAGTGCCCGTAGTGAACCCTAATGCCTGGCACCCTACATGGGAGTTTCCGAAAATTAGGGGTACCTTCTTTTGGGGTCCTTATAATAAGGATCCTACTATTTAGGGTACCATATTAGGGTCCCCTGTTTTCGGAAACTCCCACATTTCCGACATCCCGAAGCCTTGACTCCAAAGCCTTAAGACCCGAAATTGAACACCCTAAACCTACAACCCTAAACCCCAACTCCTGCAAGCCAAAAATCCAAGCTCCCAATCTTAAATTCGATGGCCTGAAGGCCCGATCTCTAACTCCCAAAGCCTTACTGTAAGCCCGATTCAGACTTGTCAGGACGCGGACGAAGGTGAGACCGGTCGGAGCAACAAGTGGCTGAGGGACATCAATACCAGGACCAAAAGTTGAGTTCTTGCGCAGGAACTTAGGTTACAATGATTGTGATTGGGGTGGTATAAGGACTTTAGAAAGGGATCGCACGGCTTGGAACATTCAATGCATGCGACTACTCTAGCCGAGTATAGCGAATCACAAGCGGTCCCACTTGGGGAACTGTTTCGGGGTTTAGGTTGAAGGCTTTGTGGCTAGGGCCGGCGAGCGTTCAAGCTTTTGGGTGTAGGACTGGTGTAGGAGGGTGCAGTTATCTGGTTCAGTTGCGGTTGGCATGACTTGGGCATCCCGTCACGATATGATTTGCTATGCATAGCATCAACTAACTCGCGAATCAGCAAACACATGTACCCCCAAACCCTACAACCCAACCCCTATATGTCCCATGCCCATACAGTGTGCGAGGGTTCTGTTTAGCCTAAACAGAACCCTCGCTTGCGGCAGAATCCTCAAACCCGTAAGAGGTTTGAGGATTCTGACACTCCGAAGTCTCATCTGTCGACATGTGTGTAACAATGTTTGCAACTATATAGTGATATACACACAGACACTTACAGATATACCTATGCGTATGCATATACATATATGCATACATATACATATGCATAGACATGCATACACAAACCCACATGTGTACATACATAAATATACATATACATATACATATACATATATATATATATATATATATATATATACATACACATACACATACACATACGCATACACATCTATATATATATATATATATATACATATACGTTTACATGTACATATACACATACACATGCATATACATAAACATAAACATTTGCATATGCATATACATATACATATACATATACATATACATATACATATACATATACATACATATACATAGACATATATATATATATATATATATATATATATAAATGTATATATGTATATGTATATATGTATATGTGTATATATATACATATTCATATATAGTTATATACATGTATATATATATATATGTATATGTCTAATATGTACAAATGTACACACACACACACACACACACACACACACACACACACACACACGCACATGCCGATACTTTATTTATGCTGACTGCGAATGTTCTTTCGAGGTCCCTATCAAGACTTGTAGAATGTAGTGCTATTAGTGCGGAATCATACTCGTGATGGTCATTTTAATAGAGTTGAAACCCTAAGCCCGATAGCCCATCCTCTGCATCAATGGATCCTGATTGGGGTTTAGGATCACTCAGGGTTCGCTTTTGCCTCCAGACCCTTAGCACACGATTCTAAGCCCCTACAGCCCTACTCTATAGCCTTGAAGCTTATACTAATACCCACAACGATACGCCCCTAAGCTGAACGTGCGACATTATCCGAACCTCCAGCCTCACAAGTCTCTAGGACCAAGAATCACTTCAAGAAGCTGCTGGCACCGCTTCAGACGCCCATCGTACAGGAGTACCAGGCACCCTCAATGTTGATGGAGCCTTGAAAAGGGGCTACAGGGCGTACGGAGATGCCCTGTTCCTGTAGAGTTGGGTGCACCATTCCATGCCACCTCTCACGCTGTCAGAGAGGTTACTGTAACCCTAATCTGTTCTTGGCTTCTTCTGGTCGGTGTGAGACGCATTAGGGTTCCGGGGTTTCGTCGGGTTTTGGGTCCTGGAGAAAACTGCAACCTCTATCCTGCAAGTACAGCCGACACTCTTTACCCCGAAGCCCCAAACTAGCAAAAACGCAGGTGGTTGGCGTCCTCGACACGTATGTCAACTACACGATGGAGCTGGTGGCCAACGCCACCGGTCACAGCGTCACTTGGAAGTTTTGAGATGTAGGGTTTATGGCTTGGGGTTTGAGTTCGATAGGGAGTCTCAGAAAATGCCAGGATCCTTAGTGAAAGGACCCCGAAAAAGAAAAGCCTAATATCAAGGTGCATGGTTTTGCAGGAATGTCGTTTTCACACACGATGTGGGGCAATGGGTGACATGGCGACGCGTCGTCCTTCAATGGGCCCTTGTAACGTTTTGTGACCATCCCCATGCAGCTCTCTGAATGATTACAAGCACTCTTCCGCAGCGTTCCCCAATATAAATCTTGTATCATTAACCCACAAAGCCCCACTCTAACTAATGAGGCCCCTACTCTACTAACTTGCTCCCAGCCACCCCTAAACTCCAAACCCCAAACCCTGAACCCCAAACTCTAAAACCAATCCCTAAACCAGAAACCCCAAACCCCAAGATTTGAAAACTAAATCCGAAACCCTCAGTGCTAAACCCTGCACACTCTAAACCATCCTAGGCCCTAAGCCCCCAAGGGTCCAAGTACCTATGTAATCTTCATATACTCTCCCAGACACTAGCCGACAAAACTACGATCGAGCTGACAGGCTTTATGGTCTAAGCATTCCCCTTATGTCCCAAGCCAAACAACACCCTAAACCCCAAAACCCTAAACCTCTAAATCCTAAAGCCCTAAGCACTAAATCCCCTAGACCCTAAACCTCTAGATCCTAAAGCCCTGAGCACTAAACCCCCTAATCCCCTAAACCTCTGAATCCTAAAGTCCTATCCACTAAACCATGGAGCTCAGCCCAAATCCCCTAATCCCTAAACCCCTAAACCCCTGAACCGCTAAACCCTAAACTCCTATAGGCCCCCCTAAAACCATGGAGCTGAGGTGATTTGGAACCGAACCTCTGGTCGAGTTCTCTCCGATGAGCCTCGGGGCCTTCGTCCCAGCAGGCAGTCGGCAAGGGCTCTTACTACGGTTGATGATAGAAACCCAGAGACTCCAATATTCCTTAATTATAAGGAATATTCATTAAATTATAATAGGATGCCTAATAGGATGTAAGGAATATTCCTTAATTAAGGGATATTGGAGTCTCAAGGAATCTTGCAGTCCCCATAATAAGGAATATACGGGAATTATGGTATATTCCTTATTATGGGTCATGCGGGATTTATATCATCAACACTACGAAGGGTTCCTGTACCTAGTAGAAGAGTAGGTAACCTTTAACCTTTTTTGGGGGTAGTATAGTCCCTATATAATCCCTATATAACCAAAAAAGGTTAACCTTTAGTTCCCCATGATACCCGACAAGTAGGTTTAAGGGCTCCTTTCAGGGTTGCTTTTAAACGGTGATGATGGCGATGGTGATGATGATGACGGTGATGAGGATGGTGGTGGTGCTGACGATGATGATGCTTGGGTGTTGCGTCTTGCGCGTTTGGTGGTTAGAGCTTAGCTCGGAACTCTTGGGGATCACGGGATTTTGGGTCTTAAAAAAATGGGGCCTTAATAACCACCACTATTCTGGGGGTCATGGGCCCCCAAACCCCATTCTAATTACTAAGGCCCCTATATTACAGTACCCCTATAGTAACCCTTAAAAGTAACCCTGCAACGGTTTAGTGTCGGTTTAGGGTTGATGTTGAGGGCTTAGGGTTCGGGTTTGGGGTTTGAGTTTAGGGTTTAGGGTTTGAGTTCAGGGTTTAGGATGGGGGTTCAGGGTTTAGGGCTGGGGTTTTCAGGTTCAGGGTTGGAGTCCTCGTAGAAAAGAGCTGTATATGCAGAGAATATCATTTAATGATCTCACTCGCAAAAGCCTCTAGAAAGCCTACCCTGAGACTCCAATATCCCTTAATTAAGGAATATTCCTTAAATCATAGTAGGATCCTTTATTTGATTTAAGGAATATATTCCTTTCTTACGGGATATTGCAGTCTGTGGGAACCCCGCGCGTGCATAAGCTCCAGGCAGGAGCTCCCGCCGCGGGCACGGTACATCAACAAGATCTTGATGCAACTTGGCTTGTTGTTTGGCAATTACAGTAGAAGCCCAAAAGTTGGGAACCTAATAGCTTCAATCCTGAAGAGTTTACTGTAGAAGGCTGAATCATTAGGAAGAGCGTGCCTTAATGCCTGTGCATCGCGAAGCCCTCGAAGCCCGCTAGTGCAGTTTAACTCGTCAGGCGTCTAAGCCGCGCTTCCATCTAAAGTACGCACAAGGTGATCCGATCACAGGCATTGTTTCAGGGATTCGGGCTTAGTAGAGGCTAGTGTCGACAGCTCGCACCCGGCGTTTCGCTGCCGATCGGCACTTTGTGTTGAGCATTGGAGTCTTCTCCTTTGGGTAGAACGCCTTGACATGGCTCAGCGAAATCCGATGACAGAGCTTTTTCAGTGTTGCAGCCTTTGGGCTGTTTCCGTAGTAGTTCTGAGCAGCTTTTCCTACAGGGTTCTGTGACTGGTCAGGCAGGTTAAAAGTATCGTTGCTTGTTCCTTGTCATCTGTCAGCACACCCGACTAGTCTATCCTCAGTCGTCTTCCGCGCTTATTGAAGCCTTTTTCCAAACCAGTCGAGAAGCCACAGGTATCTGAACAAGGAGATGGAGGCCGTCTGGAACTACATCACCATGGTCGACCGGAAGCGCTGGGGTGTCGGAAACGTCATCACCTCCTCGCCCTATGGGCCTCATGGTGAGCATCCAGAGCGCTGGCGCGCAAACGGCTCCTTCCCTCTCCCTGCTGCTGCGCCCAACAACACGATCCTCCTGCAGAGTCAGAAGATCAACCTGGTGCGCTGCCTGCAGCAGAAGCCCTAAATTCTTTGAGATTGTAATATACTGTGCTATGTTATACTATACTGTACTATGCTATACTGCACTTAAGCACAGTACAAACGATCGAACCCTGTTGAAGGTGCTGAAGCTGAAGCCGGAAATCGAGAAGTACGACAACAAGTACGCCCAGCAGCTGCAGGCAGATCATTTGTGTATTTTGGGCAGGGGTTAAGCATTCAACGCTGTTCAGGGCTTCAACTTAGGCATTAAAAGGGGTTCCGGGCTTGAAGGCCGAAAAATCTACTGCATGGGCACATGGAGCCGTAGAGTTTGTTTTGTTTTCATCGCCCTGGGTGAAGCAGTGGTGGTAGTATGTAGGAGGGCGAGCAGCGGCAGCCGCTGCAGTCCCTGCAAGCTTCGTGAGAAGTCTGTTGCAGGAGTTGCAGTGGTTTGCAACCCGAAGTCAAGCTTCAGCAGCAGCACCTCCCCCCCCAACCCCGCCAACAGCAGCAGCGATTGGCATATGGGCAGTTTGAGTCGCAGAATGCTATGATCACAGGACTTGCATTGGAACGCTAGGCCGTATCCCTGCTGGCTTTCCAGCCAAGCTTCGAAGTCCAGCCTATGCACTGTGGAAGGCCCTACCCAAAGACTCCAATATCCCTTCATTAGGGAATATTCCTTAAATCATATTAGGGGTCCTACTATAATTTAAGGAATATTCCCTAATTAGGGGATAATTATTGGAGTCTCTGGGTAAATATATTCTCTTGGCAAGCATCTCCCTGTTGAAGGCAGACTACGAGACACTGGTCGACAACATCAATGATGCAAGTCAGAAGATCAGCGAGACTTGCAAGACCAAGACATGGGTTTAGCCTACAGTAAAAGCCCGGAAGTTGGAAACCCAACAGCCTCAATCCATAGGGGTTTACTGTAGGGTGTTGGGCCGGTTCAGGGAAAGTGCTGGTTCTCGAAACCCGCAACTCGAAGGCCCTCCACCCGAATACCCTACTTAAATGATCATGTGACCCAGTAACTGAGGGTGTAAACAAAATGTAACTCCAAAAACTACTTCTAACCTGTTTTTTTGAGATACTTATAATCTTGCTTAATGACTAAGTCCCATGATCCTCGAAGTAAAGTCCCTAAGCCCGAAACAGATGTCGGTTGTCCAAGGATCTACGTGGCCGCCTCTGGAAGATGGAGGACTTCGCGATTCAATTCATTGCCCTCCCCTCTGGGGTGTGGAACAAGATTGATGCGAATTAACCGTGTGCTTTTGCAACTTTTGTTTGGGAAATTTTGGCCCGTGAGGCACCATGACTCGCTTTTGTCTTCCGTGCTGCCCAGCAGAGGCAGGAAGCGTCCAAAAAATTGACCTTTCCAGCACGGCTTAATGGTGCACGGCTTTCAAGCCCAAAGTGGATTCTGGAGCGTTGACAGATGCAGCAGATGCCAGGAAAGAAGTGTCCACGGTCGGCTAGCGGACCGAGCCCTCTTTTTGAAAGTTGCAAGTTTTGGGAGTATAGAAGGGATAGTATCCGTTATAGTTTCGTTTGTAGAACCCTCCAAAGTAAGCCTAACTCGTGACGCTGTTGTCCTATCGTAATCCGTTGTGGTATCCCTTATAGTCTGTTGTGTAGGACTTGTTCAAGCATTTTAGCTGTTGCCGGCCTATGCGTGTATCCATGGGGCCCCAACCATTTAAAGACTTTAGAACTCCAAAGCAAATCACTATTTGTATGATAATTAGTACTTTAGCTGGTACCAGTACTACTTTGAAGTAGGACCTAGTTCCTGCGTGCCCAAACATTCTAAACGCCCACAGCACAGGCACTCGGATGTCTTGTCAACCGTTGAGACTCTTAGGTGAGTGTACATGTCTTCCAGCGAAGTAAGTGGAGATGTGCTCAGAAACCTCAGTCCTAGACCACAGGGCAGGGTGTTTAATGCCTGACACTAAACCCTCAACCCCAAAACCACCCCCCAATTCAAACCCTACGCCGCCCTGTTGTGCTTCAATCCTTTGGGAGGGTACGTCTGCTGAGACTCTTCTCGTCTCTTCGGTCTCAATTCTAGGGCTCAAGACTTAGAAGCCTTTCAAGGAACCCCTCCAAGAACCCTTATGGCACGCAGGAACCCTTATGGAACTCAAGAACAGATTTCCTTAAAGGAACAGGGGCCCTCAAACGAACCTGAAAGCTGGGACCCTACTTGGAGGATCATGGGACTTAGTAAGTAAGGTGATAAGTACCTTAATTGGGGTTATAAGTATAGGTACCTCACTTATAACCCTAGTTACTAAGTCCCATGATCCTTTAAGTAAACGCAGGGGCAACCACCTGACCGCTACGTGCGCTTCGGGGCGGAGGAGCGATGGCAGTCCAACAGTGGCAAGGCGCTGGAGGGTTTTCGATCCGGGTTACCCAGAGCCTCCCAAAACCCCTTAATTAAGGAATATACCTTAAATCATAATAGGATCCCTAATATCGTTTAAGGTATATTCCTTAGTTAAGGGGTTTTGGAGGCTCTGGGTCAGGGTTAGGTCTTGGGGCCGGGTCTAGGGAGTCATTCTTAGGGCTTTAGGGTTTAAGGGTTCAAGGTTCAGGAGACTTTCTTCGTTTGGGGTTCCAGCACGGGTTCAGTGAGAAATCTACAAGGGGTGTGCAGCGAAGCCCTTTAGATGCTTTGGAGAGACTTTCTTTGGTTGATGAATCAGGCCTTTAGTGGTTTCGGACTTGGTTCAGTGTGGGACAAAAGATTAGGACACTGGCTTGTTTCGGAATTCATTCTTTTTACGAGTTTAGTGACTACGGGATTTGTTCGAGGATTTAGCGTTTTGGTAGTTTTCCTTGCGGGTGTTTTGAGGGCTGCTTCAGGGGTTGGAGCAAATAAAGTTCTGGGAGACCCTCTTTGGTTGATGGGTTGGGGGTTGAGGTAAGTCCTTCATAGCGTGTTAGAGTTTGTGTTCGGATTCTTGTATTGGGAGACCTTTTCCCAGAGAGCCCAACATCCCTGTTTTAGGGAATATACATTCAATTATATGGGGCTTCATATCATGAGTCAAGTTGAGCTATATTTCTTAATTAAACGGTATTGGGCTCTCTTGTTTCTTTGTGGTTGAGGATTTCGCTTTTGGCGGCTCCTCGGGTTTGAGTTCTGGATTAAAGTTTCGGTCTAAACCCTAAACCCTAAACCCCTAAACCCCTAAACCCTAAACCCTAAACCGTGGTCTCCCAATCAGATTTGGGTTTTCCTGGCTTCGGCTTTCCTGGGGTCGTCAAAGGCCAGCTGGGTTGAGACGGTAGTGACGTTGGAGAGTTTCCGAAAATTAGGATAATTAGGGGTACCTTATTTTGGGGTCCTTGTAATAAGGGTCCTACTGTTTTGGGTACTTTATTGGGGTCCCCGATTTGCGACAATAACTCCTAAACCCTGAACCCTAAAACCTGAACGTAAATCCCTAGACCCGAAAGGGAAACCCTAAGCCCCAAGCCCAAGCCCAAGCCAGCCCCAAACCCTTGACAGGGCCATTTCAGAACTCTTCTGAACCCGCGGGTTTAGGGTTCAGGGTAAACCTAACCCTAAGGGTCCATGTGCTCATATAGTATATACATTGGCCTTAATGTAGTCCCTATATAGGTACATTGGGCCCAAAGTATCTCTATATGGGTACATGGACCCTTAGGGTAAGTATAAGTAAGCTGCCGATGTCCCTTCTGGCGTGTCGCTGGTTGTAGCAGGCTGAGCGCTGATCGGTGCGGGAAGTCCTGCGCATACGCGATGTCGTTGACAATGCAGGTCAGCATCCGTATGACCGAGCGTTGGCTGCAAGGACACTCCTTGCCCTATATACTGGCGATGCCGCTCCGATTTCGGTGATGTCGGGACTGTCGGACTGTCGAGTGCAATTCCGATGCAAGTGGCGGTTTCCCGGTGCTGAATCTCGGATTGCACAAGACATGCCGCGCGACCTCGCGCTGAGCCTTTCCCCAATCCTAGACTGTAAACGCTGCAAATGTTTTCGACCCCGTCTTTTGTCCAGGAAGCGATCGAAAGTGCATTGCATCGATTTCAAAAGGAGGCCGGGCAAATGGGGTCAGGGTTCTGGGTTCAGGGCTTCGAGCTAATGTAGGAACCTGATTAAGAAACCCTGGGCAGTTATCAGGGCTCCTTATATGAACCCTACCTTTTTGTGGTTATAGGCCCAGGGTTTCTGATTCAGGTTCCTACATTACCAGACAGATAAATGGGCTTTTAGAGCAGGCTTGAAAGTGTCGGGTTGTCGTCCTCTGACTTCGGGGTTCCTGTCACACCAGCATCAGCAGTCAGCGCAGGCAAGATCCCAAAGCCATAACCTGGGATGCCCAGTAGTACCCTTCTACCCTTTTTGTAGTCCTAGATTCCTTATAAAGTTACCCAATACCAAAAAGGGAGCCCTTTTTATTCCTAGGTTACTGGGCATCCTAGTAATTAATCCTACAAGGTCCTACAACCCATCATGGCAGCCATCTCGAAGCAGAGCCTCGACGTACACCCGTTTCTTACGGGCTTCGGGCTTTGTCTCCGTCAACCCCAAACCCTAAACCCTAAGCCGTGACCTCTTGCGGGAAGTGCTGAGTTTTTTTTTTTAATGTTGTTTGAGGTTTGGGCTTTTCTGCGCCAGGATGGGAGTTGGAATTCGTGATGGTTCACAATCCACATTGCCCTAAGGGTCCAAGTAGTTCCCATTTATGGTTTTTGGTACCTAAAAAGGCCCTAAAGTCCTATAATAGGGAGTACTGGGACCCTCTGGGTTAGGGTTTAAAGCGCCCATATGAACTATGAACCAGGACCGACGTTCTTGAGGGGGAAGGCTTCAGAAACCCATCTTTACCTCAGAGGCCATAGTTTCATGCAGCCCTGTACAAAAGAGACCGTCATCAAACCCGCTTGAACCCTATGAGCCCGTAGCTAAGCAGACCTCATAAAGTTTCTGTAAACATCGTTTAGCCAGCGAGCCCGGATAATATCTTTTCAAACCTCTTTGAGCCATCGAGCCGGGGGTTAGTTTGTCATAACTAGCTAACTAGCTGAACAGCGCAGGGATCGGTCACCATGGCCTCATTCGCTGGAGTGGCATGCTCAGAAGAGTTTTATGGGCTTACGGTGATGGTTTAGCTTCCGGGCAGCTATGGTACCTAGGGCTTCAGAGGATTTGGGTTTTCTAGAGCTTCTTTGGGTGACTCGGTTTGGGGTTCTGGGCGTTACAAGGGCTCTTCATGTGTTGTCAAGTTATTCAAGCTCTACTTTTCTTGTTTATTACGGCTTAATGGGGGTCGTGGGAGAGGATTGGTAGGGTTTATGAGCATTCCAGGCCGCTTCCGCTCTGGCCACCCTTGAGCCTGAACACTGAACCAGTTACCCTACAGTAAAAGCCAGAAAGTTGGAATATGATTATCCTAAACCCTTTATGGTAAATTATAGGGTATCCTACCCTGAAACCATATTCCAACTTTCTGGAGTTCCCTGTAAACCCTTGTCCACTGCCTAGGGAAGCCAAAGCCCTCTTCCTCCAGGGTCCTTGACTACGAATGAGTTACTTTTATGTTTATGAATATACTTGTCTGTCTATCTATCCATCCATGCTATACTATACTAGAAGTCACTAGACGAGACGACACACACTTTGTACATATAATATTTATGTATATACATAATATATATATATATATACATACCTATGTATATCTGTAGATTTAGATATCATATTCACACCCTAGTTATCTATGATCACGCACGCTCAACCAAGAAACCTACACCCAGGCCCCCAAAAGTACCTTAAGCCGGAATAACCTACCTTTTTTAAGGGTTTATATAAGGAAATCATAATAAGGAACCCTAAAAGGTAGGTTATTCCGGCTTAAGGTAGGTAAAATAATCAACCAAAACATTTTGGTAATCTACATACTTTCGGGGTCCAGGAGGGGGTGGTCGGGGTCCCTTTCCGATTCGGGGCTCCTTGCGCAAAGGATCCTTCTAGTTCGAGTCTGGTCCCCTCTTTTGCAAAGCTCCCGAGTCGCTGTCTGCAGCAAACGCGAGGCCGTTTAGGATTCGAAACCCTCGAATAGAAACCTCTACGGTTCGGGCTTGAATTCAGGTTTCACCTGAAGTACCGCATGATCAAACGGTCCCCACAAGCGATGTTGCTTTCCGTGCCATGTCGTGAGGTTAAGGGCTTGGAGCGGGGCAAGACGCGTTCTTGCGAAGTAGTGGACTTGGGAATAAGATAGACATTAGATCCTTGAACTTTAGGCCTGCCTTCTTTGAAGCTCAAATACCGGAAGCCATGACAAGGTGACCGTGCTCTACCCTCAGCATGGCGTTGCCTGAAGGGCTTATGGATGCCTTTAAGTTGATTTGCTTTTCACGGAAAGATCGGCATCCGTGTCGCGATCAAATCAGTACCAGTCCCAGGCCTTTTCCTGCTGTTTGCTAGTACGACTGCTACCATCTTTTGCCATGACCATGACTACGATTCCGTTGCTTGTCGGGGTCAGGGTTCGGAAATCGGACTCGTTTACATGCAGAGCGAGAAACTCTTTTCAACTTTCGAAGCTTTTGGGCAGAGGTCAACAGGACCATGCTGCTGCAAAACCCTCAGGGTTCAAGTTCCGATGTCATAGTAATAACAGTCGTAAAAGCTATACTAGTCATTATGCTTTAAACTTCCTGCCCGAAACACCGAAGTCCTGCAATGGCTAACCTCAAGCCCTGTTAATTTTCAACGGCCGCACACCCCAAGACTTCCTCGAGCCCGACGTCTCGAGCTCCTGAACTCTACCTATAGTCTCCAGTGGTGTTCGTTTTGGGGTTAACTGATATAGGATATAAAGTTGTTTGAACCAGAAAAAGGAACTACCATGTAGATTATTTAGATACAGCCCAAACCCCAAAGCCACAACAGTTCCTGAGGATCTACAGACCTAGTGTTTTGGAGGTTATACCCTTGCTTTCTGGAAACTCCTTTTTGGGATTACCTCATAGGATTCTAAATATGAACCCCCCGAAAAGGAACTACTATGGAGCCTCTAGGTGGACACTCGATCCTTAACTTTCGGTTGACTTGGACCCTTCGGGCAAGTTTTCTCCTCAAAAGGCCGTCATGCCTTGGGTTCCTGAAGACTGCGAGTAGGTCTACGTGATGTTACTGGGTTTGTCCTTTGGGATCACTTTTAAAATCCCCTACTATTTTGTAGAGAACCATAATAGTAAATGATTTGCAAAGGGCTTGAAGGACAACTCAGGTTAGCAGATGTTGGGAGTATGGGATGTCTGATAACGTGGGATACCCTTCCCAGGGCCGCACGAAGGTAATAGGGTCCCATAAAAGAGTATTTTGCTGGAGTCTGAGAGTCTAAGATCTCTTCAGACTGCAAAAGCCCAACACATTGCTCCCGTCGGTAGACGTTTAGTTTAGTCCGCGAACTACGGTTGATGATATAAATCCTGCATTACCCATAATACGGAATATACCATAGTTCCCATAGTTTAGGGTCCTTAAGGTAATGCAGGATTTATATCATCCACCGTATGAATCATGTTTATTCTTGCTACATATGGTTTTGTGATCCCGTTGCGGCTCCCCCCTCCCCCACACCCCCCCCCCCGTTGGTACCTCCTGGCCCTTGCCGAAAAGTCTGATAGCGGCCTGAGCCGTATAGAACTGACTATGATCGCGAGAACCATCTTCGATATAGTTGCTCAAAGTGCGGAAATCCGGCGCAGATTGACGGAACCACAGGCCACAGTTTGAAGTGCGGTGGAGGAACAGCAGGCACAGCCAGTCCCAGCGCGAGCTGCTGCTCACCAATGTGGTACAGGTCGGACGACACTTGCCCTAGAGCCCTAAATCCTAAACTGCAAACGACCGCAAGGCCTTGAACCGTAAACAGTGCCAGTTGATGGTTGAGGACGAGATGGAAGTTTTGGGTTTTGGGCTGGCGGGCAGGAACAACAAGAACTTGGTGCCAAAAATTAATTAGGGCGAGCACTGGGCAAGACGGACGGTCAAGCGAGGTATTGAGAAAAGCCGTTTGCATTGTGCTGAATAGGCATAAGATGACCTAGGCCACATCCGAAAGTGTGTCAAGTCCCCCGAGCCCTAAGGGTCCAAGCCAAGTATGTCTTGAGGTGGAACATTTGTGGGGCTTTTATAGTTACCACTACTGTTTTGGGGGGTTCCTTGTTCTACTTATAGCATAATGGGCCCCAAAGCCCTTTTCTAATTTATTAAGGCCATTATATCAGAGTACCCTTATAGTATCCCTGATAGGCCCCTTTAAAGGATCCCTATTCAAATTATTAAGGTCCCTATATTAAGGACCCTGGAAACAAACAACACGTACCCCTTTTGCGGTTTGGATTCGTTTCGACGCTTTGGCCTCCATAGCTTAGTGGCCTGTGTTTTTTTTTATCGTAAGCATAGAGAGGGCCTTACAGGGTTTAGGAATTAGAGTTGTGGTTTAGGGTTTAGGAAGATAGGGAGAACACACACTGAGAACGAGTGTTCCGCTTAACCCTGCAGCTCTCAAATGGGGGTTTCCAAAAATAGTGGACCCTAATATAGTACCCTAAATAAATAGTAGGATCCTTATTATTAAGGGTCCCAAAATAAGGTACCCCTATTTTCGGAAACTCCCAAAGATTACTCTGACAGTCGGACTGAGGGCTCTTGTTGACTTTTTGCTTGATAAGAATAGTAGTAACACTGATGGTAGGAATAAAGACAAAAATGCCAATAATCACAAAACGAATAACAACAACGGATAGTAGCAACAGTATTGTGAATAAATCACAATAGAATAATACAACAATACTAAGAATAATGGTGATAAACATATCAGTAGTGATTGTAAAGGTAATGATGAGAGGCTTCTGAAGTCTTGCGGCGTATCATAGAGTCGACAGCATCATAGACATGTGGTTTGATCTGTGGGCAATGTGATTGAACCATATATGTGTAGTTAGTCTCGAGTAGGGCTTTTCAGGATAGGGTAGTTCATTGTCGGAATACAAGGCCATTGCCTGCTGCAATAGCTGGAAGTGCGAAGATCCAGAGGTCTTTCGAACAGTGACCCTAAAAATCCGCCATTCTGTAAACTCTAAACAGGGTCGTAAAGCTTGAATCAGCGAGCCCTGCATGATCCTTTGAATTTGGGCTCGTCAGCCATAAGATGCAGACTGTTGTGCCTCAGAATCTCTGCCAGGACAAAGACAGGGATGTAGAGGCTTTCCGTCCGCACAAGTATAGGTTTTCCAGGGCTTTCTAAGCTAGAATGGAGTCATCCCACCCAAAACCTTCATCCCAGCCTAGAAGCTCTAAAGGCTTGCCTGCCATGGCGAGTCGTGCTGCGAACTCTGGCGTGATACGGGCATCTCGGAATCCACCTCTGTTGCGGTATGCTCATTTTAGGGTTTACGGCCTAGGATTAGGCTTGTCCTTTAGTAGCCAGTGAGCCTTGAACCATGGACAAGAATGCAATGGCTTTGACAACCCTCAGGGTCCATATATCCAAATATCATATACTTTGGCCTTAGAGTAGTGCCTATATAGGTACTGCAGGGCCGATGTATGTTCTATTTGCGTACATGGACAACTCAACGCTTTTAGAGCCCCTTATAGTAACCCTTAACGGAACCCTTAAAGGACCCCTATTTGGGCGCATGGACCCTTAGGGTAAGGTATCTTTCGTCACGGGTTGGTAGTTGGAGGCGACTCTTGAGCTGCTCGGCTTCCTTTGCCCCAAACACTACTACTATTTGCTTAAGAAACCCCACCAAAAAATACAAAATATATTCCTTATGGTGGTAATATAGGGATTCTTATTTTTTTTTGTTTTTGAGGGTTTCTTAAGCAAGTAGTAGACTAAGCTCTTCCACCCGTCAACCCCAGAACCTGCGAGTCCCAAGCCCCACGCATAGAATTTCTTAAGTCTTTCAACTTTTGAAACTTATGAGACCCGATGAGACTTCCTTATAGACTCATTATAACACCCTCACAGAGCCTACTATACGACCATATAACAGCCTCGATTCTGAAACCAGGCCAGCAATGCTGCGATCGTCCACCGACGTCAGCAGGGATTCACTCCAGTCCCTGTCGAAGCCGAGGCAGTGCCTTCAGGCTTGTTCATAGTCGCGTATAAGGATTTATACGGTTGTCACGGGGTGTTGTCGGGTGTTCTTAGGCTCTTACAGAGGCTTATTAGAGCTTGACCATTCGGTACTTGGGTTAAGGCTAATTCGCGATCTTTTAGGTTAGTATGTTGAGGGCATATGATTATCTATCAGGTCCTAGATACACCGAAAACGGCAAACGCCCTGATTAATTACACGACTTACATTAAATAGTTGAAAGAGTCCTGACATCTGAAATCGTAATAGGGTTAGATGTGGGCATGTTTCATGTTCATCAGTTGGCTAGTGTAGGAACCTGATTAGGATACCCTGGGCCTAAACCCCCAAAATAGTAAGACTCATACAAGGGACCCCAATAAAGGCCCAAGGTTTCTTAATCAGGTTCCTACATTAGACAGGGCTTCCTGTCAGGGGCAGGCTCGACACCGGATTTCGAACAACCCGCATGTAAAGCTTTAGTCTGCTTGTTTTTCTGGCACAATTGACACCTTTGCAGAGTGCCCAGTTGTAATATGGATCCCTGATGTTACCCCAGTACAAAGCCTCAGCACTTTGGGTGGGCTCCCGTTCTCAGGATTTTGTCTGCATCTGAACGGCGGTTTACAGCCTAGGTTTTTAGGCTTGAGAGCGGGGGTTTGGAGCTGTGGAAGCACCCTGCAACTACTGGAGGTGGGCTTTCGAAAAGATTAATCCAAGCCATGAACTTCTGAAAAGCGAAATCTCGCAAGCTATTCAACATCCCAGGCTTTCGGGATTTGGGCCGGTGGTTTGCGCTTCAGGGATTTTGGATTAGGGTCGGACATCTGGGTATAGAGCAGTTCGTATGTGATGACCAACGATAACATGTCGCCTGAAGCCACCCTAAACCCTAAACCCTAAACCCAACCTTACGATCCCTTGCCCTTGCCCGAAGCTTCGTACCGGAATTCGTCTGGATCCACCCTTAACCTCCAAGTCTAAACCTCTCGACCCTAAGCTCTGAGCCCTGGGGGTAAATCCAGGCCTTAGACCAAGTCTTGAACCACGAGACACCATCAAATCTTCCAAAGCCTCATCACTTACTTTTGGTTAGTAGGGAATGGAAGAATGGTAGCAATAGTTGTATCCCATTCCTCCATTCCCTACTAACCAAAGGTAAGATCGAGCCTCTTTGAAAGCTCGCTGAATAGCCCTAAGCCCCCAGCAGGCTCCTC